TCAAATAATCGTCTTCATACGCATTGTTTCACACTTCTTTTGTCTTCACATCGATTTACAACAGTCTACAGGGTGTCCCAAAAATGTCACGCAATTCGGAAATGGCGGGTTCCTCGGATCATTTGAAGCAACTTCTTCCTTTACAAAAATGTTCTCCGAGGCACCGTTAACGAGTTATTAACGAAAAACAGTGACCAATAAGAATCGAGTACGGCTGACGCGAGACGGCCCAGCCAACCAGCGCGCGAAGCCCAGTTCTGCTCATTGGCTCGATCGCCTCGCGCCAGCTGAGCTCGCCTCTCATTGGTCACTGTTTTTCGTTAATAACTCGTTAACGGTGCCTCGGAGAAAATGTTTGTAAAGGAAAAAGTTGCTTCAAATGGCCTGAGGAACCCGCCACTTTCGGATTGCGAGACATTTTTTGGTCACCCCAGACTCTGTACAGTGCACATCAGACTCTGCCGTCCAGAGAAATAGCCTCGCGCAGAATTCAGCCGTACCTAAAAGGTTAATCCTCACCGAAACTATCTGAAAAGTACTGAAATCGGCAGAAAAATATGAGATGTTGCATACTTTATTTTTACCATTTGTATATTTTAAATATTTATATTATATTTTAAATATTTCACTTTCAAATTTGATCAAAAGAATTGCGCCAGTCATGCACGATCAGCATTATCGCTCGAAGTGCCAACAGGAAGCTCTGAACTAACCAGTACAGATGAGAAGCAAATTGAAACTGATGAAGCTAAAACTAGCGATACTGATTGAAGTGAAACGTGACACATTAATCGCGCCAACTCTGCTCAATTAATAATTCTAACCGTACAATTTTGCTCGTCCGCTAAAGATCACGTTATACCAGCTTTATTTCGCATGTGTTTCGAGCAAATAATATTCGATGTTGTATGCAGCTGCGAATAGCACACGACGCGCAACGAAGTGTTAATTTCATGAATCTTCCAACTGGTCATTTTTGTCACGAACGCGGTAAAGATAGGTGGAAGCGTTCGTCGATGTTTCGTTCGGGTCTTTTTTTTTCTTTCAATCGAGATTCGCGGGGCTCTCGCGACGAGAACGAACGGATCTCGGTTCCAAAACCGGATCGCGGAGATTCGCGACGGCGATTAGCAAGGAACAGGCGAGGTCGACCGGAACGATACGAAAGCGTAGGAGGATCACGATGTCCCGGCAGCTCCCCGGGGTGACGTCAATTGTCATGGAGATTTAGCTCCGCCGCTTGTAATTCGGAATTACGTTGCAATTTAATCGCGATTTAATATTTCAGAAATCCTCACCCGCTGCTGTTCCCGCGGCAGTCTTTACGCGCGAATAATTTCGCGAGAGAGAGAGAGAGAGAGAGAGAGAGTGAGGCGCCGACGAAAATATAATAATAATTCGTTTCACCGTGGTTCTTCGCGAAAGAAAGATGACGGCGACCGCTTTGAATAGAGTGCAAAGAATGTGAAGCTACGGATGGTAGACCGGACACGTTTGGAATACTATAAAGTTAGGTGAGAACAATTGAGAAAACCCGGCTCGATCCCATTTGCACAGTGGTAGGTCGGACTCGACGCGATGGTTTCGAACATGATCCGACGAATGTGTATGTTATGTACTTTCTATTATATTTTTCTGTTGTCGAGTCTTTTTTATTTTCTCGTCGTTCCAGGCAATAGCAATATTGAACAAAAAAATTGTTCTGGTCATTGCACAGCCCTCCAAAAAATTCAGGTCACTTGAAAAAGGTTATTCATCAATTATATATATAACTTTTTCCAAATCAAACAAAGTGACTTGAATTTTTTGAAATTGATTGGTGAAATATATATATTTAAAATTGGGAAGATATAATAGATTACCGCAAATATTAATTGATGAATATATATAAATTAATATTAATATTAATATTTGCGGTAATCTATTATATCTTCCCAATTTTATTAACAAATATTAATTGATGAATATATATATATAAATTAATATTTGCGGTAATCTATTATATCTTCCCAATTTTATTAACAAATATTAATTGATGAATATATATATATATAAATTAATATTTGCGGTAATCTATTATATCTTCCCAATTTTATTAGGAAGCTCGTAACGTAAGAATATTGACGAAGTAATCGATATCGTACAGTTTAACTTTTCAATTTTATCAAATTTTTGATGTACACGTACGATAAACGCTTATCTTGCACGTGTCAAGAGGTTAATGGAGGGTTGAAATGTGTTAATCAAAAAGCGTGAGATGGTGAAGTGGGTTGGTCAACATTCATTGTGCGGAATAGAATCCGTCGGTATTTAATAACCGGTTTATTCGGACGAATTTGTTAAATTCCGGATTCAAATACCAAAATCGATAGGCGCGAGTTATTTCATTAAGAACGTATCGTTTTCATTTAAAAGAAAAAAAAAACACCACGGGCTCGTGTACATTTTAACCAAACTCTGGTCTTGAAGCATCAAGCTGGACGTTCGACGTGCGAATTCCTGAACGCATTCTATTATGTTATTCCATAGCGCCAGCCATACAGCGACGGATAAAAATGCGGCAGCCTTTTCACGTTTCAATTGTATATATTTTATTCTTTCGGAAAATTCAAAAGCCGAACCGGCTCGGTTTTTCGACAACCAAAAAAACGCTAGATCCCGAAAACAATTTCATAGCGATTAAGTAAACAACGTTCCCGTTTGTCCTCTCGTGTTTATCTCGGCACAATGACCGACCGTGTAATCGAGATAAATCGTTGTTAGTCAACGCGGAATTCATCTATCAGCATGATGCGATTGTAAATTAAACAATACGTTTGCTTTTATGATTCGTACCAGACAAATCTAGTTTAATGAATAGAACGATATCCCCCCGCAGCTCTGTCGATTATTCAACGCTTTGGAATCTCCGTACAAATAAAACATTTCGTGATAATCGTACGCGCTCGCGTTAGAACAAAAGCACTAAAAGTGACTTGTTTGCGCTGCCTTTAGGAAATAACTGAACCGTGTTTGTCGAGATACCTAACCATTTTTATTTCGAAATACGCCCGAATAAATAGATACACAGCGATCGGCATTAATATTTGGACACCTTTTGCAAACACAGAATAACTCTCAGAGTTCGATCAAATAGTTTGAGCTTTTGTACACGTTGATCGTCGCGTCACCTGCGCGTGGATGACAGAATTATTTCTCCAAATTAAAAATGAATGTTTGCGATCTAGCCTGCGGATCTTTATGCGCGACAAATATGCGAAACGCGTATGATATTTATGCGCGAAAATATGGAAAATGTGCACGAAAATATGGAAATATGCACGATATTAAGTGTGTATACTACATTGTATACTATAACATACGCTATATTAAATGTTAAGTGTAATATTAAGTATTAAGAACCGTTTCACAGTTATTCTGGTGTATTGTACCACACGAATTTCAGTATATTACAAGCATTTATTCTAAATTTCATGACGTTATGGTGGCGTTGTTGGTGGCGATTGTCGGTAAAAATTAATTAGTACACCGAAAATGGCCGCTCCACGTCACATGATGTTAAGGGTGCATGTTTAACTTTACACGAACCATATGGGGGCAAATTAATCCCAGCGGCGTAAACAGATGCGTTAATGTTCAGTTAGTCAGAAGCGGACAGATTTTTATGTTTTTGTTATTAAGAGAATAAACCGTTTATTTTCATAAATTATATATTTGTAGGTGGATAATGTTCAGAGTATAATTAACCCCTGCATGGTTCAGGGCGTCACTTTTCGTCACCAGACTAAACATACGAAATAAAGAATATATTTCTGAAATCGTCTCACCACCTTCTTCTAAAAAAAAATATGCATTTGCATAAACATCCGCGGTCTAATGATGATATGTTCAGCGTACTTTACACGAGGAGCAAAAAAATACAGAAAAGTCGAATAAGCGTCCGATATCATTAAAAACATTACAATAGATCCTTTCTTATCTAAACGTTTCTATTATCTAAAAATTTCATTCGAATTCTCTACTACGCGATAATGTATCTAAATAATACAATAGAACGTTTGGATATCAGAATACAGAAAAATAAATGTTCGGATATGGGAGTCTCTACTGTACTTTAATTTTATAAAATTGTCGAGGCTGTTGAGTTGGCAGACAAAGTATTAAAAAAACCGAACTGTTCAATTTACTGGAGGATGTTTCTGACAAATGTATCGAGCGCTCGAATTTAAAAAACGCTCGCGTTTCCATTATTCGACGTATGTTGGTCGAAGAGACAAAAATGTACGCGTCAGATCGTAATATAAAAACTCTAGAATCATGTTAATTGCGTAACGTTGAATACTAGTAAAACAGTAATCGGGTAATTATGATGAAAAATCGACAGGAAAAATTCCACGCGTATGAATCGAAATTTACGAGAAATTGAGATCGGGAAAAGGTCGATGGGTCTGTCCGATGTCCCAAAATTATGGTACTTCGTGGAAATAAGAGGTTCCTAAGGTCATTTGGAATAACTTCTTCCTCAGCGAAATTGCAATCCGCAGCTTTGTTTACAAGTTACCAATAAAAAAAGCAGTGACCAATGAGAAGCGAGATCGGCTGGCGCGAAACTACCGAGCCAATGAGCGGAACTGAGCTTCGTCCGTGAGTTGGTTCGGCCCCCTTGCGCCAGCTCACCTCTCATTGGCCAGTGTTTTTTTGTGAATAACTCACGAACGATGCCTCGGAGAAAATTTTTGTAAAGGAAAAACTTACTTCGAATGACCTCGGGAACCCCTCATTTCCCGGAAGTCCCATGATTTTGGGACACCCTGCATAATAAATAGATGACGCTACATAAGTAGAGTCGTAGGAGAGATGATTTTCTGGTTGACTGTATGAGGGCATTCCGGTCAGTTACAGGAGGACGGGACCAGCGTGAGCGTGTTGCAATGGACACCGTCGATCGAAGACGAAGGAAAGTTCCTAGTGTGTCGGGCGACGAATCCGAAGCTGCAGGAGGCAGGCATCGAGGATCGATGGAAGCTGAAAGTCCACTGTGAGTACACGAATACGCTTTTCCGAGCATTCCGAGCGCTCGTCGTCGAAGCCGGGCGAAAAGGCCGTTCAAATATTTTTATAGAAAAACATCGAGTGAATATTTCGCACAGTTTACGATACTTGCCGCGGCCACCTTCCTCGCTTGTGTTACAGTTGTTCGCACCCGATCGAATTTGAATAAATCCGTCGGGGAGAAAGCGTGCATGTGCGTTATTATTAGTTCGTTACGCGTGCCAGAAAAATTCTCTCGGCAACATCAAATTCGAAGCGCGATTCGCGCGTAAAATCGGTCCCGTTACGATTGCCTTGAAAACTGTTCGTTCGATCGTAGGAATTGATAACGCGAACGATTGTTACACTCGTAATTTTTGTACAAATTATGATTTGTTTAACATTCCGAACGAAACGGGCACGCTCGACGTTGCAGCAGTATTTAGTTGAAAATGAAATACTGCGGTCGATTGCAGTTTATTTTCGATAAAATACAACGACATAATAAAATTCCCATTAATTAATTCTCGTACTGAAATGGCAATGAAGCCCTTTAAAGGAATAAATCATAATTTTGTTTTATTCTTGCGCGTTTACAACATACAGGGCAAGTCTCCCAACACGACATCAAATAAATCATAAAATATTCGTTGTACAAAAAAGTGTTTCAGATAGAAGTTGCATGGTTTATATTAGGGAGAGGGGAGGGGGCATATTATTTTGTAATCAATTTTACGGTTATTTTGCTCTTCTATTAAGATACGAAGGTCACCGTCAATTGTTTAAAAAAAAAAATGGAATGATTTAAATTTCTTCCCGAATTCGAATAAAGCGTCGAATTCCACACGAAAAAGTATTATACCGAACAGTGCCTAAAATAAATAATTACTGAAATATTAGCAAAAATAAATTCTGTTTACAAACGACTTTGTTTACGTGCGTCCAGTCAGTATGGGTAATTATTTCGTTAATATCTTAGTAACTATTTATTTTAGACCCTATACTTAAACCCTATTTTAAACCCTATAATACTTTTTGTTGTAGAATATTTAATGCTTTATCCGAAATTCGGGAAGAAATATAAATGATCTCATATAAAAACTTTTATACATTTTATACATTTTTTATACATTTTATACTTTTTATACATTTTTTCGTAGAACGAGTATTTTATGAGTTTTATTATGTCATGTCACGAGGCTCACCCCGTTTACTTCACTCTCTAAATTAACTAAACGATACGAAAATATACGAACATTTAATGCGAACGAGTAAAGATTTATCATCGTCAACAAATCATTATTGACAATCAATACCAGAACACGTGATTGTTAGAATGACATATCGTAAACAAACGTCGTAAACGAAAGAAATGAAAAAAATTGTTGCAACCCCTTGAATTAGTGATTTTTTTTATAAATGTATCCCCGTGCGAACAATTCTGGGAGTCGCTGCGTGTGACTATAAAATCGTCGCAAATTCGACAGCAAATGTGTGCGTTATAGCACTTTTAATTCAGCCATCAGCGCCTCAATTCAGAAGCTACTGTCCCGTGCAAGGCGGCGTCGGCGACCGGCGGTGAATATGAACCGGATTCGATTCCTCGAAGGAATATCGAAGCGGGAAGTAGGGGGAAGAGACAGGGCTGTGCAGCTGGAGTTATCGGTAGCAAATAACCTGACATTGATTGGAAGCTTCCGATCGGTTGTAGCGTAAGATAGCGCAATTTAGCGACGCATTTGCATGTCGCGCGGCGTCGCGACGCATTCAATAGGAGTCTATCCATTGTTAATCAACTCCTGTACACGACTGGGAGCATCCGCTGGCGTGCACGACTGAGCCAAAGACGCGATACGGTTTCATTGTAGGACCTAACGTGGTAATTCGACTCGCGACGAGGATCCTATGATTCGGATACTAATTCGATTCGATGGATTCCCTTGACGTACGACGTCGTTCTCTCTTGCATTCACTCCCTCTCTCTCTCTCTCTTTCTCTCTCTCTCCCTCTCTCTCTCTCTCTCTCTCTCTCTCTCTCTCTCTCTCTCTCTCTCTCTCTGTCTGTCTCTTTGTCTCTAGCCCATGTTTGTGTCTATCTGCAACGTTTTCCCTGAACGACATATAGGCGACCTTAGCACGAAATTACACGCCGGCCAATCTGTCCTGGCAACGTTTACCTGCATAACGTAAGCCAGAAACGTCTGCTCGCCGGATACAGATACGAGCTATCGTTATCCGTTTATTTACGACCGCGTGTCTGATCGGCCACTCGATGCATCCGCTATTATCCTCGTTTCCAGCCCACGCATATATGTATGTGGGAATTTGGCATTAGTCCGACGGATAATCCTATCCCGATGCTCCGCTTCCAGGAATCTCCGCAGAACCAACAACTTATCGAATCGATTTCGTTCCACCGGCTCTAAGCGGTTCTCCCTGCTTAACTCTGCAGGAAAAAATACCGTATACTCTCTATCTCTCTCTCGACTCCCTCTATAGCGCCTCCTCTCTCTTTCTGTCTCCCATTCGGAGAGTTGTACATTTGGCGTCTAGCGAACCGGTAAATAAAAGACGACAGATTGAATCCACAGCCGATTAAATCGTAGTCGCGAATTATGTTTTCCTTAATATATCACTTAATGTATCACTAAATAAATCCCTTAATATATCACTTAATATATCCCTTAATATATCACTTAATATATCATTTAATATGTCACCTAATATATCACTTAATATATCCCTTAATATATCACTTAATATATCCCTTAATATATCACTCAATATATCACTTAATATGTCACTTAATATATCACTTAATATATCCCTTAATATATCACTTAATGTATCATTCAATATATCCCTTAGCATATCCTTTAATATGTATACTTAATTTATCCAAATGTTTCATACAATTTATATGTTACTTACGGCAAATGTTACAATAACACTTGTTAAAAATCAGAATAAATGTCTTATTGTTATTTTTATAAACTAACATAAAAACAGCTGTTTTTTGTGCTCCGTAAAAGTGTTAAAAAGGTGCGTAAGTCTAACTCGAGTGAAACGTGGGCAAGATAATGAACTTCTCGACGATTTGATCCACCTTGATCCTTACTACGAAGCTTAAACAATTTTTTTAATTTCCTAAATAGTTATGTGCTGAAATATTAAAGCCTCGCTCTTGCAGCAACGTCTCAAAATTCGATTTACAAATTTGTCTCGTCCTTTCACAGCGATTTGAGCGAAAAGTGGTTGGGTTAATGACCTTTTTGGTCATTCGATCGCCTTTGATCGCGTCCCTACAAAGCTCCCAAATTGTTTTCAGTGCTCGCAATCATGATAAGCTCGAAAATTAAAGTCTCCCCTTTACAATTTCGTGTTATTGATTTAATCGTGCTTCGAACAGAAATGCTGTATTGTCCTGCTGACTATTTGATCGACTTATTCCGTTTCTACGAAGCTTGAAAATTTGTCTCCGCGATCCCAACCACCGTTGGCATCGAGATTGAAGTCTTCTCTTCGCAATGGCGCCACAAAATTAGCGATACGATTATTCTTGACCACATTATCGTATTACGAACGCACGGCAAACCGATCAGCCAATCGGTCGACGAACTCGGATCGCCACACATTTGAAGAGCGAAGCAGACCCTTAAAGCTCGATGTACACAATCCGTAGAATCTGCAATTTCCACGAATTCGCTGGGTGCCCAGAAACTTCTGGACAGCCGTGCAGGTGCACGTAGCGCGGCATCGCTTCGTTCGTTTCGTTTTTCCCCGATTGTCCTTCGTCGACATAATCCTCTCGCAGATTCGCCGATCGTTATGGTTGGCTCGAAGCGGAGCGGAGCAGAGCAGAGCCGAGCAGAGCCGAGCAGAGCGAAGCAGAGCAAAGCAGAGCGGAGCGGCGTAGAATCGCGAGTGTAACGAGGCGTGCGGGGAACGCCGGTACGAGCCGTGTCTGATGAAGCACGTATCGTTACCACTGACAGCGCGAGGCCGACGTTGATGGATACGAGCCTGTATCGTTAGCTACGGTAAACTGTACAGTTATGGGCCGCTTTATAACAATAATGGTCGGCCGTTCTCACGGCGTGGCGGAGCGCACTCGATCGCGCAAGGAACATCCCCCGCCCGCAGATCGTTCTGTCACTGGATTATGCTAAAATATGGAAACGATTTACGCGGGCGCGACGACGGCGACGTAGACAATGACAACGCAGACTGCGAGGACGACTCTCTCTCTCTCTCTCTCTCGCTCTCTCTCTCGTCTTTTTTCGTCGTCGCGAGCCGAAGGAAGGCGGTTGGCGGCCATCGCCGCGGCGGTCGTCCGCGCTAACGATATTTACATATGCACGCGAATTCCCGCCGGTATTTACGAGCGACGGCCACCGTTTATTCTGCCGCGCACGGAACGCGACATTTTATTGGAGTGTTTACGCGGTTTAGAAGAACACGGAGCCTGTGCAACCGGGAACCCGGGAACCGGGAGCATGGAACCGAGAGCCTGGAACCGGGGACCACCGGCACACCCGTGAACTATGGCTCGCGTAAATAACTCCGAAGCTATTTACAGGGTCGCCCCCCTTGGGTTATGACCGGTATACACCGGACCGGCTAAAACGTAACGGAATACGGTGACCAGGTGTCTGAAATTTGCCCAGAATTATTATCAACGTTCCAGACCTTTTCTGCCATTAGCCATTCGCCGGATCGCCGCGCGCGCGCGCGCGCCTGTACTTAATGGAGGGCATTTGAATTTTAGTCCACCGTTAGCCTACACCGTTATTACAACAGTATTCGGATCCTGCCACCATACTTCCCACCCCCTCTCTCTCCTTCTCTCTCTCTCTCCTTCTCTCTCTCTCTCCTTCTCTCTCTCTTTCTCTCTTTCTCTCCTTCTCTCTCTCTCCTTCTCTCACTCTCTTTCTCTGCCTCTGTCTCCCTCTCGCTCTCTCTTTCTCTCTCTCTCCTTCTCTCTCTCTTTCTCTCTTTCTCTCCTTCT